CCTCAGCCATTTATGTATGGCTTCAGACCACTGTACAAACTTTAGCTAAGTCATTGGCAGGAGCTATTGCATCAAACATTGTTCTGAGTCAAAGGCCCAATTACACAAACTCCTGAATTCCTTCCAGTTCCACTGATTTAATAGGAATTGATGGCTGGGATGAAGCCTATTTGGCTTAGTTTGTAGCAAAGTGCAAGATTACAAGAGATTTAAGTATGTGTGGTGACTTTTTGTTGTTTTAAACGGCTTTTTTTCTCTAGTGTTTTGTTCCAATTGTTAAAGAACTACATTTTCCCCCCAAGAAGGTCACTAACACTGGTCACAGGCTCCCGAAAGGAGGAAACTCAGGTGTCCAAAACCCTGACAGACCTGCAGAGTGATAAGTGGTGGTTCCCAGAGGGGAGTGTAACTTGGTTTTGAGCTAAGTGTGAGGAGAAGAGTGAGATTCCACCCTAAGACAGGTATAAGCAAGGGACCAGAGAGATCAGAAATGGGGCAGAGGTGCAGTTAGCCCATAACAAGAGCAGTCAACAATTTGAAGAAGGGGCTCAGCACCATTTGAGATCAGGCCTATTCTTGAGATGTTCCTGAGTCATTTTTGGTACTATTTAATCAGTTTGTCACAACCCAGTGGCCCCTTCCCTCAGGGGGTCCCCTGGGGAGACAGATCAGCATTGTATGTTGCTAACACTGTCGCAAGCATTGCAAGGCATTTTGGGAAGGGTTAAAGTGTTAAAGGTGTGAGTGTGGAACAAAAGGTTTCTTTACAGGCAACGAAAGGCCAGAGGGTGAGGAAAGGAGAAAAGAACGGGTTAACTTGATGTTCCAGCTACAGCCGAAGATAAGGATCTGACTCCAGCCCAAGGCCATTGCACACACTCTGCTACCTGCCAAGAAAGAAGGGAGGGAGTCTACTCTCTCCCCCCTGCGACCAGCCGTGAGACAGGAGAGTGGCTGAACAAATTGCAGGGGCCAGGAAAAGGAGTGAGACAACATGGTCATTGAGGGAAAAAACATGGTCCTGAAGCTGACATGTTTTGGGGAAAGCTGAGAAGGCCACACAAAGCCGATTTGGACTGATACAAAGAGCACCAGGAGCAGAGGTCCCTGAATGAAACACCCTGAAAAGAACCCAGGACTTAAAAACCCTCCTGAGAGCCAAAGCAAGTCGGAGATCACAGCGGAGCTTGGATGACCTGTGCACAGGACAAGAACTCCCATCCACCCCGCCCCTCTTCTTCTTATGTTACACTCAGACTTGGTCAGACTTGAGTCGTGCGTGTGTGAGTATGGAAGTGGGTTAGGGCTGGGGTACTAATGCTTTCTTGCTTCTTCTGAGTGACGTGCGGGCAGTCCCAACACTCACCGCTGTTATTTTATTATCTTATTAATAAAGCTTTAAAATTCAGACACTCTTGTCTCTGTGTGCTCTTCATCTCCTCCCCTAAAGATCCTGCAGCCTCAGCCTGATCACCTGATGCCCCAGGCAGATTCGTAACATAAATTTGTCACAAGTCCATTGCAAACATTCTAGTAAGATGGAAACCAGGTTTGAGATAATAAAGGAAGACCTATAAATTGCCTCAGTGCAGTAGAATCCCCCTGGTCAATAGTATTAAAAGCTAATTAAGAACAGTAAGCACTGGAAGAACATCAGATTGAAGTAGGATACCATTATCAACTGTCACAAGGGACATCTCTGTACTGGTTCCACCAAGAAATTAAGAATTATGCATCCTGGAGATGGGGTATGTGGTTCTGCAGCTGCATAGCAACATCATTTGATAGCACAATGTTGGATATAATTTTAAATTATTTGACAACGGCTCTTCCATTAGATGAATATAGCTGGCTTATGCTGCTTCAGCATTATACCATACAAATATTCATAAAAATATCAAGCCAATCTGTAGTTTCGTACATTTCTTGAAGAGTAAAATCTCTTCTTGAATTCTATTTTTCACTTCTGTTGGGATTGGTTTGGAAAATACTTTTATTGCTTAATATATTGACAAGTACAAGCAGATATAAAGATTGATTCAGAGCTTTACATTCTTACCACATATTTCTTCAGATTCATCTGAACCATCTGGGCAGTTTGATACTCCATCACAAAATAAGTCTTTACTTATGCAGTTTATGGCATCAGCACAAGGTTCCTCAGGAGGCAAACACTTCACTGAAATAATAATTGAGATAAGAAAAAGGGAAAAAAGAAAATTATATTACAAAGGAGAACTGACTTGCCTTTGGGACTCCAGCACAAACCTAATTACACAACAATTGTGTGAGTTGTATGTCTAACTTGCTTATGGTGTTTTTACATGCTCTGAGTCAATACATAATAGCTGAACAAACTCATCAGAAAGGTGAATATTAGTACAGAAGAGTGAATAAGTTCAGACATATGAAAACAGAACATTCACTTCTTGTTAGAACTATGCTCAAAACTAGGGCTGGTGGAAATCTATTCATCCCTTTTTTTTTTTGCAAAATGAAAAAAAATCATTTTTATTTGACTCAATTGGAAGTTCATTTTTTTCCACCTTCAATCATTTAATCAATAATTTAAAATTTGTCATGGAAAAGAATTCCCACATTTTGACCAGCACTAATAAAAAAGCCTTTTTAAGGACAAGTTTTAGTAATATTATAAATCTCTGAGAAAAAAAATAATCAATGTTTGTACAATTTTCTGCCCAGATTCTGCAATCAGCTCCCTGGGGGTGGACCCTTAAGTCTGTATGGAGTCACACTAACAGGACTGCCCAATGGTGTATACGTCCCTCCACATGTATCTAATTGTTGGATCAGGGTCAAAGAGTGCAGTCCTGTCCTCATTTGAGTGAATAAGAATTCTGCCAATGGAACAGGATTGAACCATAAAGACACTTTGAATAAGCATCATGGATGGGATGGAGGTGGGGAAAAGGGAAATCACTCAGTTGTATGTACATTTGTTTTTGCTTTTGTTAGTAAATGCATATGAGTGAAGGTGGAAAAGATCTGACTTAAGAAAAAAGCAGCAAAATACTTATAAGAACATAAGATTGACCACACTGGATCAGACATAGGGTCTTTGTATTGTATTTGTAATACAAACAGGGCCGGCTCTAGGTTTTTTGCTGCCCCAAGCAAAAAAAATTTTGGCTGTCCCCCGTCCCAGCCCTGGGCTCCTCGTCACACCCCCCTGCTGCCCCAGCCCTGGACTCTCCCCCCGCCCACCCACACCTCCTGCCGCCCCAGCCCTGGGCTCTCTCCCCCCACCCCACCTGCACCCTCCTTCTGCCACAGGCCTGGGTCACTGGTAACTCACTCCCAGGGCAGGTCATTCAGCAGGAATTTTAGATGTGCACAGAACACAGACAGGATTGGTTGCCCTATGGTTACAGAACTACAGTAAAGTGGAACAATTTTCAGCTTGTGTGATTGGAGGATATCTGGATGCATATTATAAGACTGTCCTACATAAATGAGGAAAAGTTGAGGTGCTTTTATTATTCTTTTGTTCCACTCTTTCTTTCTATGGGGAATTTTCCAATGCAGTATCACTGTCTTCCTTTTAAACAAAACAAACAAACAAAAAAGGCAATGGCTGTTGAAAATAGCAATTCCAGTCCTAATAACCACTGGGAAGCATTTCTTGCTCAATTTTATCCTACTTTTTCTAAAGCAAGTTACAGTGGATCAGTATATTTGATTTGGGAGAAATGAAGTAACAGCT